TTGTGGGAAAATTCTAGTACCAGTCCTTCATCACCTTACACGAAATAGGGTGAATACATCTCATTACACTACGTTTATAGTGGAGATCATACTTTTATGGCCGAAACCTGACACCAACTAAGATAATCCTCTAATATAAACTTTAATGTGTGTGCATTTTCCTGGCATATCTAGAACTTTTCATTGGGGTCCAAGTGTAGATGTGGCAACTAACGGCACGAAAAATGGAAGAATTAATGTGAATTTACTTCTAGGCAGAAGCGTATCACAATAAAAATTGTCGGAGTTTCAGATAAGAATTACAGATTTTCGACTCTACTAATAGACTCTGGCATCAATTCTTATCACTCATGAGTCTAGTTCAACTTCAATTCAATTCAAATAATACTATCGATTCTCAAGGCCAGTATTTTCCTATAATATAATTCTTAATAAATACACAAACCTATGTATTTAATGCATTGCTAGATTGAGAAGACATGGTTTCTTTCATGAGGTTTGTCCGGTGTACTATGCATGCTTCAAAGTTAAACTCTCAAAATAGAACATTTTTTTAAGATTGTACAGCATATGAGAGACTCTCTGAGACATATTTATGTTTAACTAGTCAAGAATGACTTTATCCCGGAAATCGGAAGAGGAACACGTTTAATCACAGCCAATTAATTCGAAACATGAAGCCTACCCTGATGGAAACAACACGTGTTTAAGTTGTTGAAAAGCTCTTGTGACATTTTGACTCATATATCCAACAATTTTTTTGAATATTATCTTGAATTTTGGCTGTATAATCATGACAGGAATTCGCTTTGTGACCGACAAGACAGCACTTTGATTTCTTTACAGTATGCTGCTTCTATGTTTACGTTTATGTGTGTATGTGTATACGTGCGTGCGTGCGTGTTCAGCTATGCGGCTTTCTGCAGATTCAAAGCAAGAAGTTACTTCCACTGATCTGTATACAACGGAATCCCGTCCCTTAATTAGCCGGTTGCTAAGAGATGCCAGATTTGCTTTCCATCCAACTTTCCATATGTGAACATAGATCAAGTGAATCCAGAGCATCTATATCCTCAAGCCAGAGAAGATTGTCGGCGCCTTTTTCTGACGGACAAGCGTCAGGCTGGACGGATCTTGGATCAACGGCAGTGCTGGTACCAAATTCAGGAAGTGCGACAAAATTTGCAGGACTCGCTTCACCAGGCTCCTGAGTTGAGTAGTTGATGCGTGGCCGGGCTACTTCTAGAGTCGAGCTGGCGGACTCAAAGCCAGGTTCCCGCCTTGGGTGGATCACCATCGGCTCCGAGGCCATTCGAGCGCTGCGGGTAGCCATGACGGCTGTAGCATTCAGGCAAGTGGGACTAGTTGATCGACGAACCGGCCGGCGGGACTCAGATATACTCAGATTCCTAGATTGCCGATTAATGATGGCCGATATATCGGTTGCCTTTGTACCGCCCACTTGTTCCTCTGAAAATCTGACGGCAGACGGTCTACAAGCTCTGGTACTGTGGCTAAAAGTTCGTCTCTTTGAATGTCGAAAATTGTGTAATGGAAATAAAAGGGATCTCGGTCTGTGATCCCAGAGCTCTGATGAAGCCTCAACGTCGTCACAATGGGCTAGAATATCACATGACTGGGCTCCATATTGGACTAGACATTGCGAAAGAGGGTGATTA